GACTGAGCACTTTGACACTAAACTGGTTATTTTTGATCTTTGGCTTCGTTTACTGCTGTTTTCATTCGCAATCTTTTATGCGTTTTCGTAAGAATGCTTGATTATAAACAGAATCATCTCCCGTTGCCGAGACTCGAACCCGGCGCACGTGTGGCGCCGCGACTTGTGTATAACTCAGCATCTTCGGGAAAATTTTTCTGTATTCTGAACACTCCAACGTTGGACCTCCAATTCCTTAGCGCATTCAATCCAAGGAAGTCTCGACCAACCCCAGGGATGCATATGTATTTCACTTCTGACCGTAGTTGGGGCCACATTTTGAGTGAAATATTTGTATAACACCATGTCTCGTCGAATTGACCAAACTAAGGTCTTTATGTTTCACAAGAATGCTGGGTTGTGAACAAAACTTTCGCCCCAGGCGGGACTAGAACCCGCACCTCTCGCTTTCCGGGCAAGTGCGCTACCAGTTACGCTACCGGGGCACCATTTCATTCCAACTCAGCTTTTCATGGTATACGTACCATAGCTTTCAGCACTCACACGTCTAACGTGTTGAGCACCCGACGCGCGATTTGTGTTTTGTGCAGCGCAAGGGGAGAGACAACGTGGCCCCGATATCGGCAATGACCGCGAGGCTGAACCTCGCCTCGCGAGGTTCAGCCTCGCGGTCATTGCCGATATCGGCGTAACTGGTAGCGCACTTGCCCGGAAAGCGAGAGGTGCGGGTTCTAGTCCCGCCTGGGGCGAAAGTTTTGTTCACCACGCCAGTATTCATCTTGTGAAAAGCATCGCGAAACGGCGAACTCGCCGTGAATAAAGTCAGGCGATGAGGCAAAGGCGTTAGAAACGCATTCAGTAATGGCACCGAGCGGAAGCAAATACAAGTTGACAAGATTCGTCCGCGTGCCTAAAGCTTTCAGCCTCGCGGTCGCATTGGCACGTCTACGGCTCACGGCGGGCTCCACAGCACCGTGTAGAGGACGGTGTGATGTGCTGAGACAGCTAAGAATGTGGTACCGGTACTACGCATCGAAGCATAAGGGCAGGAAACTGGTTGCGAATCGAAGATGGCCGCTGCGCGTAAGCCGTGAAGATCCTCAGAAGCTGTACGCCGACACTTGCCCGGAAAGCGAGAGGTGCGGGTTCTAGTCCCGCCTGGGGCGAAAGTTTTGTTCACAACCCAGCATTCTTGTGAAACATTCGCAACGCGAACTGCGGCGTTAAAACAGCAGTTAACAAACAAAACAATATCTAGAGAGATTTATGCTTTTTGATCCGAGATGATGAGACGTAATCATAAGTCCAGATAGGATAAGAAACAAAGAAGCTTAATAGTAGAGCATGATCACTCCTTCTTCTTTTCTCTTTTTCTCATTTTTCTTTTTATTGGAACTTGCCACATATTTTTCCTGTGGATCTCGAAGAATTTTAAATCCGAACAAGAATGACTTAAGGTTAGAAGGACTCGCTTTGGATGCCCGTTAAGGGGGAATCGTACTAACGCGACAATCCTTTCTCGGCGCGATTTTCACCTTGCCAGTGGCTCTTAAACTGGTACTTATCTTCTTCTTCTTCTTCTTAGCGTTCTTGCCCAACTTTCGTCAGGTACGCACGATCGGTATTCACGTTGTTCAATTATCTTAATTTGGGTCTGCGTCTCGGGCGTGTACCAGTGATGTTATCGGCTGATCTGGACACGGTGTCTGGAGGCCTTCGTAAAATGTGACCATACCAGCGTAGGCGAGAGGAGGCACGGACTCGGCGGTGATCTTGTCTCGGAATGTCTTCGTTCCGAATGTGGTCGAATCGCGTGTGTCCCAGACTCCATCGTAACATCTTCATCTCCATAGACCCATATGCTCTCGTTTCGTCAGCCGTCATCTGCTTCGTTTCCGCTCCATAGATGGCGACTGGTCTCACGACTGAGGTGTAAATTTTAGACTTCAGGCGGATCGGCATTTTCCTGTCACAGTGACAGTCCTCCATTTGTTCCATGCAGCGTTTATTCTAGCAATTGTGTCGGCTTTACTGTCGGCGTCCGCGGCCAGTGTGGACCCTAGATACAGAAACTTGGTGGTCTTGGGTAGGGAAGCTCCGTCTATGTTATGTTATGTTATGTTTATTACGCTGCTAAGGCAAACGCGGTAAAAAAAACAACCTTCTAAAATCAACGTAATAGGCCGTACAACACAAAAGATAAAAGCAGTTGACATGCGAGTAAACTAAAAGGAAAACTATATAACACATAATCCAACTTCAACCCAGATATTAAAGCAAGACACAAATATGGAATCAATTGATCAGTCTCAGAAAACTAGGAAAGCTCATACTTGGCTAGAACCACTGTCATGTTACGCTTGAACCTACTCAGAGACTCGGGGACGATCAAATTTTTGGTTACTTTTTTGTACAAACTACCAGCTCTAAAGGTGAAACTTCTGGCTCTTATATTTGTTCTAGGCCCAGGAAGCATATTTTGGTCTGCCCATCCTCTCGTTCGAGAATGCACTGTATTATAAACATCAAAGGAACCAAAATTCAAACACCTTGCGCCGTGATTCCAACGTTGAGAGTTTGAGATATCTATTACGAATGGAGGCTCTAGGAATACCAGAATAGAAAAAGCATCTGCACCGGAAAAGAATTTTACGCGTGAAGTTATTTTGTACTTTTTCAAGTGCAAAGACGTCCTTCCTCCTGTTGGGATGGAACACTGTAGCACCACTCTCAACCAAAGGGCGAACATATGTCTTATAAGCTTTGAGAAGGATGGACTTATTCGTAGTAGACAGCCCCTTGAAAAATGTGCGACGTCCGCAGTAATTAGCTTACACCGAGAGCGAATGTGCATGGAAAAGTCAAGAATGTTGGTATAGAGAAAGCCTAGATCCCTTACACAGTTTACGGGGAGATAGTAACCCCATCCACGGTATACGGACCTGAGGGAAAAGGGACAGGATTGTTGCCAATCGTCATATACATCGTTTTATGCGGGGCCAAGGGGAGCTGCCACTGCTTAGCCCAATCACTCAACAAGTTAATGGCCTGCTGTAGCACTTCCCGGTCCTTGGCCTTCGGTAACGAACTTTGTAAATCTTTACATCATCAGCATACATTTTCGTTACAACATCTAATCCTTCGAATAAACTGGGTATCTCTGCAGTGTACAAATTAAACAGCACCGGAGAAAGAACCCCTCCTTGCGGCACTCCACTCAACACTCTCATGCTATCGGAGTAAGCCATGCCTACACGGACTTGAAAGGTTCTGCCATGCAGGTAATTAGAAATCCATTTCACAAGAGTCGGATGAAACCCCAAGACCCCAAGCTTGTGAACTAGTTTATTGTGGGGAACCCTATCGAAGGCTTTTGCAAAGTCAAAGTATATGACGTCACAACATCGATTATCATCAAGCGCAGCGGTCCAGTCTTCCAGACTTTCAATCATATTCGTCTCAACCGACCTCCCAGGGATAAAACCATGTTGGGCTCGTGGTATGATTCTGTGAGCGGCAACATACCCAAGAATATGGTCTTTGATAGTTTTCTCAAAAAGTCTACAAAACAGAGATGTGATGCTGACAGGTCGATAATTTGCCGGGTCCGAGGATGGTTCCTTTTTAGCAACAGGGGTGATGAAAGAGTGCTTCCAGCGTTGAGGTACCTCTCCAGTCATAAGTGACTGATTGAAAATATACGCCAATGGCCCACAGATAATATCAGCTATCTTTTGGATGAAAACCAGTGGTATGAAGTCAGGTGTAACAGAGGTGGACTTGGGCCAACACATAATCCGTTCATACAGCTGATCCCCATAAAACCATGGCAGTTCATTTATGATTGAGATTCCAGGCAAAGAAAATCCAGGAACACTAACGTCCTCACTCGTGAACGATTCTGAGAACTGATCAGCAAACATATT